ATGTTAGAGGAGGTATCAAACAACATAATCTTGCTGTTGATTACTTCAAGGCTATTGAAGAGAAGTTCCAGGAACCTCAGAAGGCTGAAATTGGACATTACATGTCACTCTTGACAACTTACAAGTGTGAGGGCAATGGCTCAATTAGGGATCATATTCTGAAACTCTCAGATGCTGCCGAGAAACTCAACTCAATGGATGTACATATTTCAGAGACTCAACTGGTTTTTATGGTGCTTCAAGCACTCCCTGCTAAATATTGTCAACTGAAAGTCTCATATAACACTCAAGGGAATCTTTGGACACTTGATGAGCTTATTGCTCAATGTGTCCAAGAAGAGAAAAGACTGAAGCAAGACAAGGGCAAGGAAATTGAAGCAGTAAACCTTGTACATGCATCCAAAGGAAAGAGCAAGAAGGGTGGCGGATTTAATCCAAGTAAGAACTCTAAATCTTATGATAATGTCTCTAAATCTGGTATGCCTGCTAAATATGCTCAATCCTCTATGAAATCTGACAATCTTAAAGTTAAAATTAAAGATATAACTAAGCTTAAATGTTTCTTTTGCAAAACCAAAGGTCATATTAGAAAAGATTGTGAAGCTTTTAAGGATTGGCTGAGGAGTAAGGGTAATATTGATGTCTATGTATGTGAGGAGTCTAACTTGGTTGAAATTCCTGCTAAATCTTGGTGGTTTGATACTGGAGCATCAGTTCATATCACAAATACATTGCATGGTTTTGAAAAACAAAAACAAACAAATAAAATGAATTATAGTGTTTTTGTTGGGGAAGGGACTAAGGTTGCTGTAGAAGCTATAGGGAAAGTGAAACTAAAATTATCTTCTGGTTTTATACTTGAACTAAATGATGTACTTTTTGTGCCTACAATGAGAAGGAACCTAGTTTCTGCATCAAAACTAACTAAACAGAATTTGGTTTTTCTTGGGGATGATGAGGGCATAAAGTTTTTTCAAAAGAATAATTTGGACTCAGTTTTGGGAAAAGCTTATTTACGTGACAACCTTTGGCAAATGGATTGTTCTCTTGAAAAGGATTATGTGCATGTTTTAAATGTAAACACCAAAAGGATGCATGATTTTGAAAATTCTTACATTTTGTGGCACAAAAGGTTGGGACACATTTCGAAAGAGAGAATCTTACAATTATCTAAATCCAATTTGATTCCCTCATTTGATTTTCAAACCAAAAGTGAATGTGTTGATTGTTTGAAAGGGAAATTGACTAATACTAGAAAATTAGAAGCTAGGAGGAGTCAAAATCTGCTTGAAATCATACACACTGATGTATGTGGTCCTTTTCCAGTTAAAACTATATGTGGAAACAACTATTTTGTGAATTTTATTGATGACTTCTCAAGATTCAGTTTTACTTATCTCATTAGTGAAAAATCAGCCGTCCTTAGTTGCTTCATAATTTTTAAAACTGAGGTTGAGAGACAATTAAATAGAACTATTAAAATTGTTAGATCGGATAGGGGAGGAGAGTATTTTGGCAGGTATACTGAGGCAGGTCAACAGAAAGGACCTTTTGCTCTTTATCTGGAGAAACATGGCATTGTGGCACAATACACGACACCTGGAACGCCACAACAGAATGGAGTATCAGAAAGGAGGAACATAACTTTGATTGGGATGGTGAGAGCATGGTGTCTAGAGCTAAACTTCCAGCATTCTTATGGGGAGAAGCACTCAAAACAGCAACTTATATACTCAACAGGGTGCCAACCAAAGCTGTTTCACAAATCCCTTTTGAAATTTGGACTGGAAGAAAACCAAATTTTGATTACTTTCATGTTTGGGGCTGCAAGGCTGAAGCAAGGTTCTATAATCCACATGAGAAGAAATTAGATGCAAGAACTCAGTCTTGCTATTTTGTTGGCTACTGCGAAAAGTCCAAAGGGTTCAAGTTTTATGATCCACAAGCTCATTCAAGAATTCAAGAGTCACACAATGCTGTTTTTCTAGAAGACCAAGATGTGGCAGATCTGAATCAAGAAGAATTTAATTTTGAGGAACAAATCTCAGATGAATATGTCTCTCCTGCAGAAAATTACAAGATTCTTCCCATATTCCCACAACAGATTAGTCCAAATGAATAAGAAGATCATCAAATGGTAGATTGTGGACTTGAAACAGAAACTACATCTGAACAGACTCGGCTGGAAGACCATGTTGTGCAAACACAACGGCAAGTTGACAGTTCAGAAGCACCTCGAGCTGAACCAGAATTAAGAAAATCGACAAGAACAAAGAAGTCAGCCATATCAAATGATTATGTCTATTTGCAAGAATCTGAGTATGACATAGGTGATATTGATGATCCCATCACCTACAATCAAGCTATAGAGAGCTCCCAATCAATCTTATGGACCAATGCAATGAAGGAGGAATTGGAATCGATGAACAAAAACAAAGTCTGGACATTGGTCGAATCTGATTCCAAAATCAAGCCTATAGGTTGTAAGTGGGTTTATAAAACCAAAAGAGACTCTCAAGGTAGAGTTGAAAGATACAAAGCTCGATTAGTTGCAAAAGGGTTCACTCAAAGAGAAGGTATTGACTATAACGATACTTTTTCACCTGTTTCATCAAAAGATTCCATGAGGGTCATAATGGCTTTGACTGCACATTTCGATTTGGAGCTGCATCAGATGGATGTCAAGACGGCTTTCCTTAATGGAGAGCTACAAGAAGATATTTATATGAGGCAGCCGATTGGATTTGTTGAAAGGGGGAAGGAAGATATGGTTTGTAAATTAAATAAGTCAATTTATGGTCTCAAACAAGCTTCAAGGCAATGGTATCTCAAATTTGATCAAGTAGTTACAGCTCATGGTTTCACTGAAAATAAGTTAGACGATTGCATCTATATCAAGTTCAGTGGATCAAATTTCATTATAATGATGCTATATGTCGATGACATACTATTGGCTAGTTCTAGTTCTCAATTACTGCAGAACACTAAGTCCATGCTTAGTGTTAATTTTGAAATGAAGGACCTTGGTGAAGCACACTATGTTCTTGGAATAGAGATTGTGAGAGACAGAAAGCGAAGACTCTTGGGTTTATCTCAAAAGGGCTATATTGATAGAGTGCTAACTCGGTTCAACATGGAGCATTGCAAAGGAGGCCACGTTCCTGTCAATAAAGGTGACATATTCACCAGAGCACAATGTCCCAAGAGTAAAATTGAAGAGGAAAAGATGAGAGACAAACCTTATGCCTCTTTGGTGGGTAGTTTGATGTATGCAAATGTTTGTACGAGACCTGATATTGCCTTCATTGTTGGCATCTTGGGTAGGTTTCAATCAAATCCAGGTGAAGCTCATTGGACTGCGGCAAAGAAGGTATTGAGATATCTGCAACGGACCAAGTTGTTCATGCTCGTATATGGCAGAAATCCACATCTAGAAGTCACTGGATATACTGATTCAGATCTAGCTGGAGACTTAGATGAAAGAAAATCCACTGGAGGTTATGTCTTTATGCTTGGAGGTGGAGCTATTTCATGGAAAAGTTCTAAGCAGTCTATCATAACAACATCCACCATGGAAGCAGAATTTGTACCCTGTTTTGAAGGCAGCAAGCAAGCTAATTGGCTCAAGAATTTCATAAGTGAGTTGAAGTTAATCGATTCAATTCAAAAGCAGATAAAGATGTTTTGTGACAACACTTCAGCTGTGTTTTTCTCTAAAAACAATAAGAGGACTTCTGCTAGTAGACTGATGGATGTAAAATTCCTGAAAGTTCGGGAGATGGTAAAGAAATGAACTATAGAAGTGCAACATCTGAGTACAAATCTCATGGTTGCAGATCCTTTGACTAAAGCTTTACCAATTGGAGTCTTCAAAGCTCATGTTACTCGAATGGGAGTGCTGGAATCTTTTGATCAGTGGGAGTAGTTGCTGGTACAGAAGTATTGAAGGTGATGACATCTTTGTAGGTTTATTAGTTAGTTTTGTTTCAATTATTTTGTTTCAACTAGTTTTATGTTTTAGCTAGTTTTGAATAATCGAATGTTTTCATTTGGGTTCAATTTTTCCAGATTATCTGTGATTAATTGTTCTAGAAGACAAAATTTTGTTTTATGGTTCTTACAATGCTTTAAAGTCAGTTTTTGATTTGATAAAGCAGTTGGCTGAATTATAAAGTGTTGTTCATAGTATTGCTTATGATCTTTCGAGATTTTGGTTTAAGTAATTACTTGGATTATGAATCATGTTATTCAAGTGGTTTGAATATTGAGATGATTACGATTTGATATCATGTGTTGATATTAAATGTTTTGGCTTCAAAAGTGGGAGCAAACTTGTTTTGAGTTTGTCTTTAATCAGTTGGTTCACAATGTTACAAAGGTGCAGATTGAGTACCTGTGATTTTGAAATTAGCTCTGTATTGTATCAAGAGTGAATTTCTGGATTCAGTACTTTGAAATGCATTGATAGATTGTTTGTGATGAAGTAATTTTTCATTGAGATTTAGTGATCACTTCTATAATGATCTGAATTGTTGTGCGATGGTTTTAGGTCATGATCAAGTGGGAGAATGTAAGAATATGATCATGATTATAATTCCTAAGGCCTGCTATTTGTTTCAGATCCGTATAGAAAAGTCCCAATGTAAAAAGGTATACTTAATCCTTATTTGTGAAGGATTGAATGAAAGTATGAAAACTGGGTTTAACACTTTGTATACAATAAGGTAAACTTATTCAGTATTGAATAAGGATTCTAATAGGAGAATTACATGGATTGATTGTGTATAAATAGTAGCCTCTGCTCTCACAAAACATACGCTCATTATTGAACTAAGGCCTATTGTTAGTTTGAGTATTATTGGTTTTGACAGAGAGGAGAAGGTCTACTACGTGTTTGATCATGGCTTCATCTATGACTGCTGCAGGTTAGTTTATATTTCATACTTGTAGTATATTAATTGTTTTGATTATTCGTGGTTTGTTTAACTGGACTAAGATTTCTAGGAGGCTTTATGGTTCTTACATGCCCAGCAACAACCTACATAATATAACACAAAACATGAATGTCAACACATACTACAAAACCGAGGAATCGTGATGCGTTCAAGAAAACACACTATAATTCTACTCTACTTGATAAATTGTCGATATGTTCAAATATTGGTAAGATATGAACCAAATATCAACAATATGCTAGTTTAGGAAGGAATGAAAACATTAAGATAGTAACACACAGAAAAAAAGCATTTAAAGTTGATCTCTCTTTAGACTCTTACCACTGGGTCCTTGATTCTTTACGGTGGTGACGGCTCCATGCATACTCCAGTCGATGCTAAGGGGAACATCAGGACCGCCTAAGCTCTCGTACCTAAATGATACATCTGCGGATGAGGTCTTTTCAGTGGGATTTATGTATCCAGTATGTTGTTGGACGAAATCTTCGTAGCTCAAATCAGCAAATTCATCGAGTCCTAACTTGTATGTGTTATTCCCATCACGGTTGAATTTCTCCACATACTCGACATTGCTCTTGAAGATGGTAAAACGCCTTTCCTTTTCTTCACTGTCCGGATAAACGCATCCATACTTTGACATCCAAAGATCATATTTTCAGCAATGGAAGCTTCGTACAATGTTCGGGATAAGGCTTAAGATGTCAAAGTCCCCAAGACGATGGATATCCCAATAATCACTAGGCTTCTCTCAAACACCATTGTTCACAAAGTACCGATAAACTAAGGACTCTATGATGACAACGAATCAGTTTATATTCTAAGTAGTGATTGACAGGATAGCTGTCAAGAACGAAAGCGTAACCATCTAGGGCTTGTTGAAGATCAACACCAGCCCAATTGGTGTTTGTGTTGAAGTGTAATCTTGCATTGGCCCAAGATGGATCCAGCCCATGGACAAAGAAATATCCATACACATGCTAGAGAATTCTAGCAAAGTTCAAGTTGGTGGAAGAGTCTAGAAAAATGGTGAGGTTTCTACCAACATGCAAGAGTAGTAGTTAGTGGAATTATCTAGATATCTCTAGCATGATGATTACATGCTTCTCCAAGGTTCCATCCATGCCTATAAAGGAGAAGGCATCCACACCATTTGTATCAATCAAGCAACCAACCAACCAACCAACCAAGTGAGAGTGAGAAGTAAGAGTAGCCTTGTGAGGAGTGTGAGTGATCTAGAGTTTGTCTCTAGAAAGTGAGTGAGTGTCATTGCTTCTAAAGTGTGTCTTTGAGTGTTTTAAGTGTTGTAATATTTTGTGAGTGTAATACAAGTAATTTGTTTACTTGTTTTGTCTCTCCAACACTTGTGTTAGAGTTGTGTACTTTTAAGTTTTTTTTCCAACAGGGTTTATATAGAAGCATGATGATCGTACCGAAAATTGGGAAGGGAGAAATATTTAAATTGGGAAGGGAGAAATATTTTTTAAAGGTGTTGATTAATCATTACTTGATTTGGTGTTCCACAGTTGATTTAGGGTTGATTTTATTTTGAGTACAAGTAATCTGCAGGCGGATTCTATATTACTTGCGCTGCAGGCTATCTTTTTCATTTATTTCCCATCTAATATTTGCTCTTTTGTTAGAGCATAGATTTCCTATATTACAACTTAAATTTCCAGGCAGGTTCGAACAGGTTTATGACCTGCAGGGTTACGATTATTCCCGCCCGATCCGAGATTCCGAGAAGTTGATTCCTTCTTCCTTTTCTTTGTGGAAAATTAACACAGGCATAAACAAATATAGTTGAATTAGCGAAGTGAGTAATATTTGCCCAAAAGGGTAATAGATATGAGTCGATTTCATTGTCCTTTCCATTTTTAGTAGTTTTAACTTCTAACAACTCACTTATTATCTCCTCTTTTGCTGGTTTAGGCCCTCATATGTCAAGTATATATAAAACTATACACACACACACACACACACACACAGTATATATACAGGCTATGTGGTTGACACATGTTGGCCATAACCATAATGGCAACTTGGTACATAATTTTCGTGTGCGACCATTTTTCCTTTGTGTAATGTTTAAATGGACTGAAATTGAACTTGCAGGAGGGAACATCTAATTACTTCAAAGGACTAATGCTCATTCTTTGCTACATTATTGTCGCTGCGAGCTTCTTTGTACATAGAGATCTTAAAGCGATTCGTGAGTTCTCCCCTCCTTAATTTTCTCTCAAGTGGCCAGTGGATAATCAGATTTGTTAACCGTACCTTTGTGTAATTATATATATATATATATATATATATATATATAATAAAATAGTTATCAACATACTAACCCCCAAAGTTTTACGGCCAAAGCCACCAACCTACGCCTAACCGAAGCCACCAATCTACGCCTAGCAAAAGCCAATATAAATATCTCCAGGCCAAAGCCAACCAACCTACGCCTGGCCGAAGCCAATATATGAGTATCATCGCCCGTAGGTAGAGCAATGACCACTATTACGCACAAAAACATTGAATATATATTCTTTACGACATAAGTGTGTGTGTGTGTGTGTGTGTATCTCAAAATCATTTTCATAGCATATAGTCATCCATCATATATACTATAAAGAAGTGTAAAGAAGTGTAAAGAAAACATGTTCATAAATATACTATAAAGAACATTAGTTCGATAAACTATGGTATTCCAAAATATTCTCAGTAAAGCATGATATATCATAAGTGTAAATCTAATTTACTCATAAAACGTAACCATAAAATCATGCTTTTCATGTATGCATTTCTACTATTAAAATATGCTTTTTAGAAGGGGCCACTCACAGATACACCATCGAAGAAGAGTCGTACGAAATAGGAATGACGGAATCGCTGTTAATAATTGCACCTAAGCACATAAGGGGTACAATTAATAAAACTCTATTCAAACGATTGAATTTGGGAAAACGAACGTAAAAAAGCAGGTCTAGGATGTCGAAATTAGCCTAGGAATGGTCCTGAACGAAACTCGAAAAAGTCGACAAAAAGTCAAATTTGACGGGCAAAGTCAAAGTCAACGATCAGACCAGGTCTGGTCAAGGTCAACGGTCCGGGTCGAGTCAAAGTCAACGAGTCTGGGCTTGGGTTGGATCCGGGTTGGGTTTGAGCTTTGGGCTTGGGTCCAAAGGGTTTTTGGCTTAAGGTCTGGCCTAAAAAGGAAAGGGTTTAGGGTTTTAAGATAAATAAAAATAAAAAGGTTAATGGGTTTGGGCTTTTAGGGGTTAACGGGTTAGAGGTTGTAAAACCCCTCCCCAAATGTAGTTTGTAATTTTACTTTTCCCCTAAAAGTATTTGAAGTTTTCATTTTGTTCCCTTTATTCCTATCCAATCCGGACCCTCCCTTTAGATTCTATTTCCCTTTCAGCCAGCCACGTGGCAGCGCCTCAACCCTCTACTTCTTTTTCTCTCTTTCCCTTTCCCCGAGTCAACATTCTTCTCTCTCTCACAGATCTTTCTCACACCTTTCTTACCCTTTCTTAAATCTCTCTCTCCGGCAACACACACACACACCCATCCTCTCACCCAACTAGCCACGACACCACCATCACCTCTGAAACCTCATCTTCTATCTCCCCCGTCTCTGCGAAGCTCCAAGACACCCAGAGGACACCCAAATCTCTCTGGCGAGCCCTGTGCCTCTCAAGCAGGATTTCGACCAACTCTAGCCACCCCATGACGTGAATTAGGTATGAAACTCTTCCCCTCATCTCACTTGTCATTTTAGTACCTAGATAGTAGGCTAGGGTGAAAGTATGTCGTCGACCGGAGCTCGGAAGACTCTGGCCTCCTTCCCCAGCAAGAGCAAACAACTAGGCCATTAGGCCTAAACCAAGCCCAGCCGTAGGGTAGCCTAAACCCAAACCCTTACTTAATTAGGCCTTTGGGCCATTTGCAAAACCCAAGGCCTTAGGCCCATTACCCTCTAAAACCCAACCCATTTACCTTTATTTATTTATTTATTTATTTTATTTTATTTTCTAAAACCCAAAAGTTGTTAGGCCAGGCCTTCAACCTAAGTCCCGTTAAGACCAAACCCAAAACTTTTAGAGGCTTAGGCCTTCGGGCATGTGAATTTGGGCCCAAGCCCAAAGACCCCAAACCTAGTAACCCTAAACCCTAGGCCCTTGGGCCAATCCACTTGGGCCTCCGGCCCTATAGCTTCAAACTCAAACCCTAAGCCCAACTCGGTTCCAACCGAACTACGCCCAGACCCAAACCCATGACCCGTTGACTTTGACACGGTCAACGGTCAGCGTTGCCTTTGACTTTGATCGGTCAATGATCAACGTTAACTTTTGTTAAATTTTTCTGGTTTCCGTCCGGGACCCTTCCTAGGCTAATTTCGACTTCCTAAACTCGTTTATGACGTCCATTTTCTCAAATTCAATCGTTTGAATAGAGTTTTATTAATTGGACCCTTTATGTGCTTAGGTGCATATATTGTGGTGTTTCCATCTTCGCTAGTTTGCGTGGCTCTTCGGCAGCTAAGTATCTGTGAGTGGACCCCTTTAAAATGCATGTTTTAATAGTTGAATGCATACATGAAAAGCATGATTTAATGATCACGTACAATCCTGGCGTCAAGGCACTTCCGCATCGGCCTCTTCGAGTCCTTTTGATGTATGACACATCCCTTTGTTCTTTCAATTTTATATTATTTCTTTCTAGTGTTCTAAATTAGTTGTATGCTTTGGACACGTTCCTTATTCGTATATTAATTATATTTAAATTTATAAGTCTTATTTATTCATGTCATCATGCATTCTAAATGGCTTGCGTCACCTTCGGGTGTTGGCCAGCACGTGACCATCTCGATGTCCGTGGGACATTGGGATCGAAGCGTGTTAAAGGCCCTGGGGTTTGGGCTCAAATGCAAAGGCCCGAAGGCCTACTGCTACACGGCCCTAAGGCCTAGGTCTGAAGGGTTAAAGGGTTTTCAAATGGGCTGGGCTTGAAGGCCTGGCCCAAAATAAAAAGGGTTTTGAGGTTAGGTTTCAAGGGGATTGGGTTGGGCTGCCCGAAAGGGTTTGGGCTTGGATGCAACGACCCGAAGACTTACGCGACAAAAGCTTAGGATTCTCACCGGGGAAGGAGGCCGGAGCCTTCCGTGCTCCGGTCGACGCTAAACTGTCATCCTAGACTCCGATTTAGATACCAAAATGAAGGCACAGATAAGAGGGAAGGGTTTCGTACTTGAGATCCATCGTGGAATGGCCAGAGGTGGCCGGAATCCTACTCGAAACCCATGGGTTTGCCGAACCTGGGTTGGGTATCCCAGAGCTTCACGGAGATGAAGAGAGAGGGAGAGAAGGTCTACGATGGTGGTGGTGGTGCTGCGTCGCCATCGAAGGGTTCGATTGGGTGTGTGTGGGTACATGTTCGATCGAGGAAGGGAAGAGTGAGAGAGTGAGAGAGTGAGAGTTGAGCTGAGAGAGTGAGAGATCCGAGAGAAAGTCAGGAAATGAGAGAAAGAGAAAATGATAAGTGAGTTAGGAGGCTGCCACATGGCAGCGTGAGGAATGAGGGAAATCTAGATGAAGGGTACGGATTAGATTAAGATAGAGGACCAAAATGAAAACTTCAAATACTTTT